AAAGCGTAGAATATGAAAAGCGTGGACAGGAGCACTCGAAGTTGTAAGATTATGATAATTTTGCTTAGATAACGAAAGCGGCCAGCGGCGGCTACGGGCTGCTACGGGCTGCTACGGGCTGTTGACGGCTGCTGGCGACTGCTACGGGCTGCTAGCGGCGGTTGCCGGCGTGGTATGAAAAACCCTAAAGGGGAAATGAAGAATGAAAATTACTATATGCATTAGTTCTTAAAGCTTGAGTTGAAATTAAAATGAATTTTTTCAAACACTTTTACACTCAACCGGTTTCGGGGCTTAGAACTATACCGGTGGAGTAGCTTTCTTGGTGCCCCTCTTCAGTAGTTCCCAAGAAAGCTGCAAAAGTTGTGTAAATGGTTCAGTTGCAAAACTTTTGAGTGCATTTTTTCAAGAGATTGTAAAAGATTGTAAAAGATAAATAGAAACGGGAGACTATCTAAAACTAAAGTAAAATATGTAGGAGGATGATGCTTAGGAACAAAAGATTATCAATGACGCTGGCAGAAAATGCAAGAAGATATTGTAATAGTGTGTGACTGAGATCTCAAGACTCATACTGTTGTTATATATTGAGTTCGAATGCGATCTAGTTATTCAGGCGCGCAGATGCGGTTGCAATACGTTGAAGATCAAATGTTCTAGCGCTGGTTAACCAAATGCGGAGGCATGGTTTAGTTTTATAGAAGATTAAGCTATCATGAGTTGTCATAAATTTGAAAGTTGGTGCTTACCTAATATACAGTTTGATTGCAATATTATGTTGGGCTCCTATGTTCGCAAACAACACGATTGTTGACCTTGTGTTGTGTCATATATTGTTCCTATTAACCGGAATCTATCCAGAGTTCCCCTATTTCGTGGACTAATGGTATATGAAGGGCTACATCAAAACCATATTTGCGCAGTATGCAAGGATTGTCTCTTAAAGTATTACATAATGTTCTAATTAATATTCTTCTTTCCCAACCATTTTTCTTACAAAGTTTGCATAATTGCAGTAGCCTGTCTTTGAAGGTTATGTAATCCGAACAATTTCTGTAAATTCTAAGTGTTTCAGTTTTGAAAGTGTTAGTGATGATATATCTTGGGACATTGGATTGCCATACCGGGTACCTCAACACTTCAAAGTTGTACGCATCCGTTTTGTTATACAAACTAAATGATATATTGTTATCCATTACTTTTACGTTCAAATCCAAAAAGTTGGTTTCGGTATCATTTGTGTTAGTTTTTTCTATGATAAGTTCATTATGATATATTTCTTGTAATGACTGTTCGAATATAATAGGTTCTTCCGAAATGTGTAAGACATCGTCAATGTATCTGTAGGTGTTGTTGAATCTATATAAGTCTTCCGAATTCCTATTGGCTACCATCCTTCTAACATACTCATATTCCATATAAGCTAAAGTTAAGTCTGCCATTTGTGGACTACATGATGCTCCTTGTGGAATTCCTCTTTCCTGCTTATAGATCACACCCGCAAAGCTTAGATAACTATTATGTAAAAGGGCGTCTATCATATATAGTACGTCTTCTATCTGGTAGTAAATTCCTTTAGCTGTATTTGAATTGGAATAAGTTATTAGCCTATTATTAATTTTTATGAATTTGTATCCTCTCATGCATAATGTTATAAGTTTATGCAAATTTTTTCGTACCACCGAGTGTGGTAGGCTTGTGAACAAACTTGAAAAGTCTGCAGAAAAAACTTTGTAACTTCCTGACTTGCCACTAAGATCCTTTACTACTGTTGTGCTATTGCTAATTGCCCAAAAATGTTTAATTTTACTTCTTTGGAAGATAACATTGCAATAGTTCATGAAATGCTTCCTGATGTGGCTAAGTATAAGTGTCAAAAGTTTAGTTAAAGGTTTCAATGTGCTGTGTTTGGCTCCTGTAATGTATCTGAATTTAATTGGCACCTTATGCATCTTCGGAATTCCATAAATTCTTGGTACTTCATTATAATGATTATTTACTTTCACATTCAGCCCTTTTAAAATTCTTTCGTGTATTCTTCTTACTTCATCTAGACCCAATTGCGTACGCACATATGTTTTCACTTCACAGTTGATTTGTTCCAACTCCTTCTGTATCATAATCAAATATAATTTTTTGCATGTAAAACTGAAATTGGAGCTAGCCTTATCTGTTGTTGTAATTACAAAGTGTTTTTGTATTTTTTGCAATTCCTCTCTTTTATATTCTTCATTTTCAAGCACTTCCCGTTGACATAGTTTATGAAGCTTTGGCTTAACTTTATTAGTAAACGTCCTTTCTATTTTACTTTCTAAAAGTTCTTCTGTTGAACCACTCAGCTTTAGATTACTTCTTATTTTGAGTGCCAAATGATGTGCCAAATTTCTTATAAACTTCAATAAATCTTCTTTCGTCACTAAACGATGCATTCTGTATTTGTAGCCTTTACTAAATATTTGTCTTAATTTTGAATCTTCAATAATATTAATATTCCCTGTACATACGTGCCCCAAATCCACATCAATATACTCTTTGTACAATTTGCATGCACAGTCGTTAATAAGTATATTATTAACGATATTGTTGTTAATATTTCTAAGAAATTTATTGTAATTACATAAATTTAATCCAATGGGTTCATTTAATTCGTATCTTATTCCGACTTTCATATCGTACACTTCTTTCTTTTTGTTAGGTACGACTGTAATTATAGCCTCTTTCACATCTCTGTTATTACACAAGTTTCTTAATTTTAACTTGTCAACAACATTCCCAAGGTACGGGACAGTTATGTATATATTGCTGACTTCTTTAATCTTTTGTTCTTTTCCGCTCCAAAATGGTTTCGCTACCAAAGCATATATTTTGTGCTTCAATTCATAACTGAATTTTATAAACTTCGAGTCAAATGTTAGGTCTATTAGTCTATTAATGTCGTGTTTGTTTAGAGTTCTAAAATATTTATATAGATTATATGATTGCAGTTCGTTCATTCTATCAATAATCTCATCAGTTCTGTTAGGACATGTACCTTTCTTTCTTGATCTTCTTTTCTTCCCTCGGAATCTTTGGATATGTACGGGATTACGAAAGTATGGGTGTTCTTTCTTTTCCAAAGGATTTATGGAGTCTGAGATATTGCCATATCCTTTGATTTGGTCGTTGAATCCGAATGGATATGCTGTTATCATGTACTTGATCCATTGCAGTTCTTTATTTCTCAGTTCTATTTTATCCCTTGTGTTTGTACTATCTAGTATATCAATTGTTATTTCTGAAGGATTATGTTTACTAGCTTTGTAATGTTCCACCATGAATGTTGTTAAAGTTTGATTTCGGAAGCTTCTATTGTGTTGATTGATCCGTTGTCTCAAAGTCTGTGCTGTTTCTCCTACATATTGCTGTTTACATGTCAAGCACGTAATCATGTAAACTACATTCCTAGAGTCACAATTGGCTAGTTCTGGTTTATTTGTCTTGAAGAAATAATTTGTTGTTGAACTTTTAGCTTTGTTGTCAAAATTAATTTTATCGCATATGTTGCAAGTTCTTCTTGCACATCTTACTCCTGTGTAGGAATATATGTAGGTGTGTTTACTACTTTGTATTGGTGGTTCGTTCTGTTTTCTTGAGACGCAGACAACATTAAACATGTATTGTTACTTGTTTCGTTGTTGGCGGACCTGAATCCATTGAGTCGGAGGCGGTCCTTCCTGGACTCTTATGCGGTTTCCTTATCAGAGGATATTTCCTCCTCGGCTAGGGCAAGCCTCTTCATCGCAGGGGAGCGCTACCCGTGGTGCAAACCGCATTGGATTTTAATGCCCAACACCACGCCAGGGTTCTCCCGAACTTTTAAATTACTTAAGCGGATTTTGTTTCTGATAGCACAGCGATACTTTGAGAGTTGGAATGTGGGATCTGGTTCTTGTCCGTAAAATTTGTTGTCTTGTATTGCATATGTCTTATTTGTCCATTTTATATGTATGGAGATATACTTGAGTATATGTATTTCTGTAGTTCTTATGTTTGTATGTATGTATGTATGTAACGTCGAAGTTAAAGTAAGTTTGTGTTTATATATTATTATGTTATTATGTTTATATATTATGTGTGCATGTAAGTTGTCTATGTGATGTGTGTTTATTGTATATTCATTGTAATTCTTGTAGGAATGAACGCATGTGACGTATGTATGTACATAGTTTTGTGTATTATATATGTCTGAACGTATGTACATGTATATATATGTATTGTTTGTTAGTAGATGTATATGTTATCGTGTATAAGCATCAATCTGAGTATGTTATGATACAGCCTCTGCGTATGTGTATGTGAATATGTGTGTAATGTAGGTGTTATATATGAATGTGTACATGTATGCAGTGTGTTAATAAATGACTATTTGCATTTGTATTTGTATGTGAATGATTTTGTGTTAAGTGTTAAGTGTGTTACTAAGTTTATTGTATTATAAATATGTTTTCAATCTTTTGGGTTATCATGCGAGCACCGAATCTAATCTTCATTGTTTTATTTACAATTGTTTGTTAATTATGTGACCTCCTTGTGAAGTGTTAACATGTTTATGGGTTTATGGAGTTATTTGTCGTGGTTTTGTTGGCTTGGTTTTTGATGGAACGCGGACTACTCTTACAATTAATGAATATATGACATCGTATTATTACAGGAGTAGGTCATCGATGTTGTATGTCACCAAAAGGCCATGTGCCTTCTCTAACTCTTGATGCTAGAGGGTGACCAACATCTGATTATGTGATGTGGGAAGTAAATGATACTTAGTGGAAGTAAGCCATGTTAACTAAAATCATTTAGTGAAAGTATTATTTCTAAATTATAAACACTGTAGATAAGGAAACTCTGGATCTATTCCTTTCCCGCCCTTTATCAATATAATCAATAAAACGCCTGAGGTGACCTAGTCCATCTCACTAACGGTATATAAAGCGCTATCTGGTTATCTAGTCTAGTATTCGATAATGTCTTCTATTGATGTGGCTGGTGCCGTCCGCAATATTCTTGGAGACAGCAATCTTAACTCTGAGCTATCTACCGCTTTGGTTTCATTAGCTTCTGCTCTGGATCAGCTGAAGAAACAACAAATTCAAATGAAGGATCAGCAGGACGCCTCAACTAAAGAACTGGAATTAGTCCGCCGTATGTCGAGGACTAATTGGTTGCTTGTTAGTGCTTTACTTTCATGTGGAAAATGTGTTTTACATTGTATTTGTTGCAGGTGATCAATTTGCCCCTGCCTTTCGGCCTATCAAAAGGCCAGGCTTTGCAACGTCTGTTCGACAATTTGAATTACTCCAAACCGCTTTTTGACTCAGAACGTGATCTTCTGGCTGCAGAAATTCTTTATGTGAACAAAAACGGAGCAACTTGTAACATGTCTGTAAGTTTGATAATTATGCTAAAAATCTCTAAAGTCCGAAATTCAGTTCTTTGTCGCGCAGCGACACTATGACCATATAATGGGGGCCGAGTTTCAACGCAAACTAGTAACCAGCAACCAAAATGTTCCAAGAGGTATGCGAAATTAATTACTTGTTTATTTGCAAAAGTTTAGGAATGTATGCTACATGTTATGAATATAGTAGCAAAAGTAAGATCATATTGAAATAATGACATATTACTGTTCTACTAGGATGTTATCTACTTAGACGGGGCAGAATTGGCGCTTACTATCGATTAGCTAGGTAAATGGACAAAAGATCTGCGTATATTCTAGAAAGTCTGGGCACTAAGAGCTGATGAAAAAGTAAACTGCGTCCGTAAGTAAGAGTTAGTTGAAGGATGGCTATGGTACACTCCACAGTGGATAAATAGCATGTGTTACAGATCGAAGATGAACCAATGTTGCGCTAGGTTTAGCAAAATAGCTTATTGCTAGTTCCGACGCCATTGTAAATTGAAAACCAGGAAATGGCTGATACGAACTGATTGATAAACAAAAGAAGTTTGTGAATTACTAGAACAAAAGTAAGTGCGTGGAAATTGTTTGAGCAATCACTGTAAACATGTACTAAGGAGTGTACCACAAATGTGTACCATAGCCATCCCTAAATGTGGGAGCCGCACTCGTGTAAAGAATTGAAGGTAATTAATGCCGGCAAAATTAGAAGAAAGCGGTATAACGTAATGACAAATATTTGAATGAACTTACTAGTTACTAATTCTCTTGTTCAATTGCAGAACAGTCTATGATTGCCGTAAGATTTGTGCTGTTTTCCTTCTGCATCCTTATTTGTAAGTACCGTACTTCTGCAAATAGTCGTGTTAAATTATGTAAATGGTTACCCAAGGCGATTAACAAATGGCGTAGGTTAAGTAAGAGGTGCTACTCTAACCCTAGTTGTCCAGAACCGAAAAGTTACGTAGATTATCTCATTTGCACCATTTGCTTAAACTATTACACGTAGATTCCATGCATTGTTTCTTGATTGTTACGAAATACGCAAGCTGTGACTTGACGATTGCTAATAGTTAAAGTTGCAGAATTGATTAGCTTATGGTCTATGGGCTATATGAGTGAAAGCGTAACTCAAGCAAAAGATAGTGATAACGCTTGATGTCTATGAAATGTTCAGCATCGAAAAGATAACCGTACATTTGGTCGCTATTGTGGTGTGACCGCGCACTTGTACATTTGTAATTCACGACACTTTCATTAGAGAGACAAAGACTACACGAATGCCGAGTCTCACGGGTATATTACTAAGCAAAAGAGAATAAGTAAGTGAGAAACGGAAGGTAGTTGGTAAGTAGTTGGTGCATAAGTGTATAAAAAGTGTGTGAAGTGTAAGCTTTTTTCCGGCCGTGATATTACTTGTGTATGTATATACGCAATCACCATACTCCATGTCATGTCATAAAGCACGACCTCTATTAATAAGGAGTGCAAATGAAAATGTCCTTCAAATAGTCCTATTTCGACACTACTGAGACGAGGTCGCGTACATGAATCATCAGGCCATAATAGATATAGTAATAAGCGCAAAACGTATAGAAGCGATGACCAAAGACTTATTTGTCTCATAAGTATGAAGGCACCCTTATGGTAGGTATGCGGTATGGGGCCAAATCATAGATTTGGCTGAAATCCGGTCTAGGGCGATTAATGGACACGCTGATGCCGAGTATCATATTTATTTCATATGATAGCGTCATTTTCTGAGGCTACGGGCGGTATACGGTAGGGGGTCAAAATGGTGGATTTGTCCGAAACTTGGCCCAGAGGGGTAATTTGACATGCTGATCACAAATATCTTGCTTTTACCTCATAAAGACGTTTTCCTGTGTAGATATGGTAGATATACCGTATACGGTAGGGCGTACGGTAGGCGAGAAATCTCCCCCCCTGTGCTTTAGGCAAAGCCACCGCAGAATGGTCGCGCGCGGCGATGGTCCTGTATGAAAGGCATGACCGTAGGGCGAGTCGGTCTACACTCAACACCAAACGCGAAGTTCTAGACAAATTTGCCATTTTTGTTCCCTACCGTAAACCTACAGTAGCTTCGTAAGAAGGCCTCTCATGCGAAAAGAGTACGATCATTGTGATTAGCATGTAGCATAGCCCCCCTCAACCAGGTTTAAGTGCAATTCACCCCCTACTGTGCATCCGCAGTAGCCCCAGATTGACGCTACCGCATGGAATATATATATGTTAGGTTGTTTCAAAAGTAATTTCGCTTTTTTCAAACGGACACCGCATTTGACGGAACAAAGGTTTCTAAGAGATCTTGGAGACATTCGATCCAGAATTTCATTCTCTTTCTAATAGTTATGGAATTGTTGCAAAATAGTCAATGAGCTTTCAGAAAATGACCGAAATCTGCGACCCATGCTTTTTGAGATAGTCAAGTTCCACAATTTTTTAAAACTTTCGTATCAATTCTCAGAAGGAGTTCAAGTAAGGGTTCGATAGAGTAAACCTTATAGAATACAGCACTGCTTTTTTCTCTTTTTTCTGGCTTGCCGTAATTTTTTAAAAGATTTTTTAACAAAACCATCGAATTTTGGCAGGCCTACGTCAGCCACAATCGCAGCAAACAACGGTAATTATTCGGATTTTAAAAATTCCAAGATGTTAATGACTTAATATTGATTTTACAATGCAAGTGAGAGCTTACGGATTCAAAATATTAAATTTCGAGTTCTTCGGGTACAGCCCGGGGCTCGCTAAAAAAAATGAGTTATGATGATTTCTCCCCGGTAACTAAATGAATCGCGAACAGAAAAACACCTGTTAGAAAGAGGAGTAAATGCTGCATCGAATAGTGCGCGAGCTGCTCTTCTTTTGATGTTCTACAAGGATTTAGCTGCCCAAGTATGGAAATCGGTAACATCAGTTAAAATTCTGTTGAAAATGTGTGACAAGCTACGGAAAGGAGAAAAAAGCAGTTCTGTATTCTATAAGGTTTACTCTATCGAATCGTTACTTGAACTCCTTCTCAGGTTCGATATGAAAGTTTTAAAAAATTGTGAAACTTGACCATCTCAAAAAGCATTGGTTGCAGATTTTGGATATTTTTTGAAAGCTCATTGATTATTTTGCAACAATTTCATAACCATTAGAAAGAGAATGAAATTCTGGATCGAACGCTCCCAAGATCTCTTAAAAACCTTTGTTCCGCCAAATGTGGTGCCCGTTTGAAAAAAGCGAAATTACTTTTGAAACGACCTAATATATTAGACACGCTGATACTCGGCATCAGCGTGTCCAATAACCCCCCCCCCTAGACCAAGTTTCAGTCAATTCTACGGTATTGACCCCACACCGTATACCTGTCGTAACCCCACAAAAGTGATCCTTTCATGCAAAGTGAATGTCATTTTCGTGACCAGCATTTCGAATAACCCCTGTACGCAAAGTTTTAGCAAAATCAGAGAATTTGAAATTTTGGGTTGCGTATTCTGGAATAGTCTTTTTTTGCGAAAGTGACGTCGTGTGCTTCCCCTTCCCCCCCACCCGTCGACATCGACCTTCAGATCTCTCCCCCCCCCCCACCCGGTCGAAGTTCTTAAGAGATGAGTGTCCACCACCTTCACTTTTGGGGGGCCCGGCTCCACCCATCGCATCTCTGCTCCTGACCCGTACCCGCCTTGCCAAGTTGCCCGTTGCATGGGTCTCGCTCCATTCACCAAAAGTGACCGATTCGGCGTCTGCAGGCTATTGGTGTACTGTAACTAAGGACTGCCAACGTTGCTCTTCCCTTTTCTCCTTTCTTGTCACTTTTCCGCCCCATGAATGGAAATGTTCACGTTTTTCAAATTTGCTTTGCAATTTTCGAGTATTTAATATCTGCGCAGAATTTTGCTAGTCACATTGTGATTGGAGAAGTTTCAACTGGATTCATGAACGTCAGTGCACTGACTGTTTATTTCAGGTCAGAAGGGAGCTGGCGACGTTACAGAATGTCGCTATTAATCAAATTCGAGTCCAAGTCAGCTAGAGTCAAAGGTGAGTACGGTTCTTTTGGAGATCATTTCACCTTCAAGAATTTCGACCACTTTTCTTTATGCTTTTCTCAGCGTTCCAAACATATATGAAGTATTCATTATTGTTTTTTATATGTTTGCTTGAATGTGCTTATGGTGGGGTCTTTTCTTTTGTTTGTGTGTTCATGACAGTCATCTTTACCAGCTTTTCCAAAATGGTTTTGTCATGAATGCACGCAAATCAAAAAACTTTTTTGATCCACGTGACCCAGGAAATACTAATTGTCAACTTAACATCAAGAATCTAGCTTGCCATTTGTGATCGGCTCTTAGATCTGTGTGGAGGCAGGCGGGTTGCGGTTTCTCTGTTTATAAGAATAAAGTTGATGCGGATTTCGAAAAACAATGCTGTGACGTGGAGATTGAACAAGTTTTTCCTCATAGTCAGGGGAAGTCCGCAACCCGTCTTATGGATCCGAGAGCCAGTGGTATTTTCACCGGCTTCTATCCGCGTGTTAATCTTCTTCCCTCCTCATGAAATATCACTATGAAGTAAATAATCATAGCCATTGGTTTTGTGGGAATTACACTGAGTTTTCAGGAATATCATTTCATCCCACAAGGCCATGGGTGCTGGCATCGCTACACAGCGGCGTGATTCAGCTATGGGACTATCGCATGTGTGTCCTACTCGACAAATTTGACGAACATGATGGTCCAGTGAGAGGTATCTGCTTCCATATGGATCAACCTATCTTTGTATCTGGAGGGGATGATTACAAAATCAAGGTATATTTCCGTCAAATATTCCAGTCTTATGTATATACTCCTGTAATTAGGTGTGGAACTACAAACAACGTCGTTGTATTTTCACTTTACTTGGCCATCTCGATTACATTCGTTCGACTTTCTTCCATAACAAATATCCATGGATTATCTCATCATCTGACGATCAGACTGTTCGCATATGGAATTGGCAGTCACGAAACTCGATTGCGATTCTTACCGGTTGGCGGCCCACATCGTTCTATTTCTTCTAATATCTTTTGAACAGCCGTAGTGTTTTTAAGGCTATTTTTTTAGGTCATAATCACTACGTTATGTGTGCCCAGTTCCACCCTTCTGACGATCTCGTTGCCTCAGCTTCTCTTGACCAAACCGTGCGAATATGGGATATCTCTGGCTTAAGTGAGTATACCATTGAAACTCGTCTTTTTGAACCTAATCCTGCTTGATAGGAAAGAAACAAATGCCTGGAGGAGGAAGCGTCGTACCCAGATCGGGAAGTGGTCCACAGACGCAAGCTGATCTATTTGGACAACCCGATGTTGTTGTTAAGCATGTTTTGGAGGGACACGACAGAGGTATGCATTTTACATAATGTTTGTGAGTCATTAATCAACGACTAAAGCAAAGGCTTTGATTTTAGGAGTTAACTGGGTGGCGTTCCATGCCACAATGCCAATATTAGTGTCCGGTTCTGATGATCGCCAAGTGAAAATGTGGAGGTACAATGAATCTAAGGCATGGGAGGTGAGCTAAGGGTACCTCTCGCGAGTGTACCACTTTGAAGCTATGATTTCCTTCGTTTTCTCATGTTTCCTACATTTTTTTATCCGAGATGCCCTCTTTCCACTGGCTTATCTCCTCTCCAAAGCAGTCTTTCAATCTGGAATACCTTTTTTCGTTTTCCAGGTGGATAGTTGTCGTGGACATTACAACAATGTTTCTTCGGTGCTTTTCCATCCCAACGCTGAGCTGATTTTGTCAAATTCTGAAGATAAGTCAATTCGGGTTTGGGACATGCAGAAGAGAACTAGCCTACATGTTTTCAGGTAATGTGGGTGTTTTTTTGTTGCTTTGAACGAAGCTATTTTTGCTATTTTTTCAGAAATGTTTTTGTTTCAGACACGAGAACGAACGTTTCTGGGTTCTGTCAGCTCATCCAAGTCTCAATATGTTTGCTGCCGGTCACGACAACGGAATGATCGTTTTCAAGATTCAACGTGAACGACCTGCCTATTGCATTAACGAAAACCTCGCTTTCTATGTCAAGGACAAGCAACTGCGTCGCCTCGATCTCACAACAGAGTGAGTTTTTTCCTCTCTTAAGAAATTATCACAGAAAATTGTAAGCTGAAAATAGTTCATGCTTCAATGTTTGAATGTGAGATGACAGATAGTAGTCATATGAGTCAGACGTGTGTGGCAGGTTCGCCCTTTTCGTTGATAACATTTTCTGACTTTGAACTCAAAAACTTTCAATGAACGAATCTTAATGCGAAGTGAAGTCCCAAGCGTGTTTATTTTAGCAAAGACCAAGCTATGTGCAAGCTGCGAGCCGCTGCAGCATTTATGCAGCCGTATTATGCGCTCTCGTACAACCCGGCTGAGAACGCTTTCTTACTTACTAGTCGTTCACACAACAAGGAACAATGTTTTTACGACATCTACAGGGTACGAAACCTCTTTGCACATTCTTACACAAAGCAATCAATTTACTATACAGGTCGCCAGAGATTCTGATGGTAATACAGAAGCGCCAGTTAATCGCTCTCCTGGAATCGCCGCGGTGTGGGTTGCGCGCAATCGTTATGCTGTGCTTGATAAAAATCAGCAGGTAAGTCGCGATGTTTTCCTTGCTCTACAACATAGCACATGTCATGTTCTTGCAGATTTCTTTGCGCGACCTCTCCAACAAAGAAGTTCGTAAAGTGGAGATGAATGTTCCCGTTGACGACCTGTTCTACGCCGGAACTGGCGTTCTTTTGTTGAGAAACGAAGAGGGGCTGCAGTTGTTCGATGTTCAACAAAAACGAGTCATGGCACACGTAAAAGCTAGCAAAGTAAGCAACTTTTTGAATGAAGATTTCCCGTGTCATGGACAGGGCATTTTAGGTACGATATGTCATCTGGTCAAAGAACATGGAGTATGCGGCATTGCTTTCGAAGCATACGCTCACGCTCATCAATCGTAAGCTCGAGGTGCGTTCGAGTGCTGATTGTTACAAGTCAATGCTATTGTTTGATTTACCTTATCGGATCTATTTGAATTAATTTTCGAAAAGTCTGTCCATTGATAGGTTAAAGTTTTAGGTGTTGTGCACTCAGCAGGAGTCTACACGTGTAAAGAGTGGAGCTTGGGATGACGAAGGCATTTTCCTCTATACGACTAGCAATCACATCAAGTAGGACACATTTTCTACTTCTGCCTTCTTATGCGCAGTGTGCTACTGCTCCAGATATGCGCTCACTGCTGGAGACTGTGGAATTGTTCGTACCCTCGACCTCCCCCTATACATTCTCGCAGTGCGTGGAACTATCCTCTATTGTTTAAATAGGTAAGTTTCTTAATTTGCTGTGGTTTGCTAATGACTTTAATTTTTATCTTTCCCTATGGCGATGCAAAGCTTTTTATCTCTGGGTTTCTTTGGAGGTGTCGGTAACGTCTAACAAAATGAAACCTGATAGGCTCTGCTTTTTTATGAGAGTTCTGCCCGCTTTTTACTCGAAAGTTTTCGCCTATAGTTTTTGCCTGTTATATCAGACTTTCATAGGGAAGCTACACCAGTCGAAGTTCCCATCGATCCAAATGAGTATCGCTTCAAACTTGCTTTGATCAATAGGCGCATTGACGAGGTACAATATCCTTCCATTCAATCTCAATTAAGTGTGCTTATTGATAGGTTTTGAATATGGTGAAAAGCTCAACTCTTGTTGGACAATCTATCATCAGTTATTTGGAGAAGAAAGGCTACCCAGAGATTGCCTTACATTTTGTTAAAGACGAGCGCACTCGGTTCGGCCTCGCTTTGGAATGTGGAAATCTTGACGTGGCTCTGGAGGCGGCAAAGGTGAAACTTACACTCTGGTCTCATCTAGTTTCTAATGTTTCGTATTCGTAGGTTTGCGACGATAAGGCTATCTGGGAGGCTCTCGGTGAAGCTGCGCTGATTCAAGGAAATCATCAGGTCGTTGAAATGGCCTATCAGCGAACGAAGAACTTCGAAAAGTACGCATTTGGAGTTTTAGAGGCTACAACATTTACAAACAATTTTTTAGGTTGTCATTCTTGTACCTAGTCACGGGCAACATGGAGAAACTCTCCAAGATGATGAAGATTGCGCAAATGAGGAATGATGCTCACGGACACTATCAAACTGCTTTGTACCTAGGAGACATCGAAGAAAGGATTAAAGGTGATTTGTTTGTGGAGACGAGCGTTGATAATGTATGTTGTTATTTTTCAGTGCTAAAAGGTGTGGGCCAAACTTCTTTGGCATATTTAACGGCTGCCACTCACGGTTATGAAGAAGAAGCTGCTGTACTCAAGTCTGAGCTCGAATCTAAGGGACAGCCTATCCCTCCAGTTGATCCGAACGCAAAGCTGTTGGTACCACCACCTCCTGTTTGCAAGGTCTGTTTCCTTCGCCTTTGTTCTGCTAGAACCGCTTTGAGTCGATGAGTTTGGCTGCACGCCGGTCACATTTTGGTTCTTCAAAAGCCTTTTTCTTACAGCTAGAGGAGAACTGGCCGTTGCTTTCGACTGCTCGTGGTCCGTTCGAGCTGCTTGGTCTTGTTCCCCCTAGCAAGACCAATGCTGCAGGAGTCTCGCAGAAACCCGCTGCTGCTGCATTTGCTGTGGCTGACGATGAGGTAACATATATCTTGATGTGGCACCTCGGCGCTTAGCACGTTTCGGACTGCGAATTCGTGCGCGGCGAAAAAGCATGCACTTTTGCTCGACGGTCTACATAGGACCCTCCTTTCGTGATATCAGCACTATATCTTTAATCAACATATCAAAGCTCGATATCCAAAATTTCATTGAATGTGAAGTCTTTCAATTTTGTCACCTGAGTAGAATTGCTTCGATTTCTTGGGAGATAATAAAAAACTCTCAGTATCGAATGGTGACTAGATCCACCCAAATCGCACACGGTACCATCGATATGAAAAACACTGTTTTTTTCCCCGGAAAATGTAACAAATTGTTGCAACATAGCACGCGTCGTTCGCGTTGTCGCATCATGTTGAAACCATTGTTTGATTTGTGACTGTATCTCCTAAATGAGTTGATGCGGCATGGTCCCATAAAGTTATCTTGAAAGTACGAGCCTAAGCCTTTGACCTGATACCTTTGGAGTGTGATAAAACTCACTGTGAAATTCAAGAAGGCCCATCGAATCACTTAATCACTTCGTCATCACTTTTGCATACTAGCTGCTTCTTTACAGATGGAAGAAGGAGCTGCATGGGGCGAAGAAGGTGATTATCTTGTGGATGAGAACGGAGAAGTTGAGGTAAGAATGCGAAGTATATCGATGTCTATCATATTCTTATAGATTCATTGATTCCACTGTAGTCAACAACTCAAGTACTTATTCTCAAACTTCAATATTTCCTTATTTAGCTCCTTCATTGTCATGCTTTACATTGAGAATCGATTGTGTTGCAGATTGATGATGATGACATTCTCGCTGGAACTGCTGAAGAAGGAGAAGCAGGGTGGGATGTGGAAGACGATCTTGCAATTCCGGATGTTCCCGCTGCTGCCGGCAGTGAGGGTAGGTGTACAAATGTCTTCACGCAGTTAGCAGTAGACTTGTTATGGACTGATATTAACCCTTCAGATGTTGTTGTACCTAATCGCGGCCAGGCGCCCACATCGCATTGGCCTGCAAACAGTCGTCTTGTGGCTGACCACGTAGCTGCTGGTTCATTCGAATCTGCACTGCGTCTTCTTCATGACCAACTTGGAGTCATAAACAGACAACCATTCAAGGAAGTATTCATGGCTACATACGCCAGGTAACCTATTGTGTGATAGCATTTTGAATTGACAGTTTGACTCAACACATCTCCGTCAAATTATTTCCATTTACCTTCGTTTAGCTCACGAGTGTCCTTCAATGCATTGCCGAATACCAAAATTCTTTTTGGTTATCCGCTTAGAAATTGGCAGGAAGCATCTGGAAAGTGAGTAAATGAGCTCACATTTCATCAATGATGTAATTTTTCATAAATTCAGAAATGGCCTGCCTGCTGTTGCTGTTACACTTTCGGAATTAGCATCCAGACTGCAAAATTGCTATCACCTGACAACTGCTGGAAAATTTGCTGACGCTATCGTGAAACTTCGAAAAATTCTTCTTTCTGTACCTATGCTAGTTGTGAATTCAAAACAAGAAGTAGCTGAAGCAGAACAGTTGATCGAGATCTGTAGGAATTATCTTGTTGGTCTTTTAATGGAATGCGCAAGAAAGGTATGTTACCGCGGTCTTGTCCGAAAAATAAGTGTAGTTTCGACATAGCAGATATATCTATCTGTAGGAAATCCCGAAAAGCTCGCCTGCGGATTTGAAGCGAAATGCTGAGATGCTGGCATACTTCACTCACTGTGAGCTGCAACCTATCCATCGAATACTCACGTTGAGGACCGCCATTAACGCTTTCTTCAAACTCAAGCAAATGCGTACATGCGCATCCATGTGCAAACGTCTTCTGGAACTAGGTTTGTGCTTTCAAAGCTTGAGTTTTGTGAGCAAAGTGACTGTGCTTAGGTCCTAAGCCAGAGGTCGCTGCACAAATTAGGAAGGTATTAGCCGCTGCCGAGCAGGACAATAAGGATCCCAATCAGGTTAGGCTCTTGTTATTGAGTGTTCTTATTTGATTGTTTTGCTTGCAGCTGGCGTATGATGAGCACAACCCGTTTGTTGTTTGTTCTCGTAAATACGTGCCGTTATATCGTGGGAAACCGCAATGCAAATGCCCCTTCTGTGGAGCATCATTTAGCGCTGGTCTCGAAGGAACGGTCTGCGATGTATGCGAGGTTTCAGAGATTGGAAAGGACGTGATTGGGCTTCGGATTTCTGCTCTACAGAAGTAGTGCGATTGCAAGGGGCCGAATCACTTTCTTGCATAAGGGTTACTTCTATGTTTGCGATAATTTATTTATTTATAATCCAAGAAATTTCACTGTAAACTTCCATATGATATCAGGATGTGCGTGAGTTTTTCCAAAAGAATTTTCTGCCGGCTCTCATGGTTAAGGGTTTTTGTGCTGAAAAGTAATAATGTTTGTAGTCACGGTTGAGCTATCAGATTCTATCTTAATTCATTTTGTGCTTTTATGAAAAGTGTGATAAGGCATATGTTCAGATGTGATAAAGGTTTTCGAATTTTGATATTGTCTTATTTATCCGCTTTATAGTAGCTGAAGTGAAGAGTGGAATAAGGTGCAGGCAAGAGCTAGCATCGAAAACGATTTCTGTTTGGCTCAAAAATACTTTTTGCTTCAATGTAGAAATGGGTTAACTATGTTTTTGAGAATCTTGTAGAACTTTATCAAACTTCTTTCAAATGAAAGTCATATTGTCAACAAGCATTTGGGTTTGCACTTTGTAAAAAAGTTTAGTTCCGTTTTGTAGGTGGGTCTATAAATTACGAGGGACCCGAGTGAGGTGTGCTTTAGTAGAGCCTATCAGGTCGCTGTTAGACTAGCTAGCGTGAATTGTCCTTAGCATAAGCCTCGGTTATGCAAAAGACAATTACGGTTATCTGAAGAAAAAGGAAAAGAACTGTATCCGTGCTTATTTCAGGCGCTGTTTTGTTATCTTTCTCGAAAGCTCCATATCCCTCTCAGATAATTGCCGGGGCAGGTGGACCGCAAACGCGCTATTCTGCGGGCGGTCAGCAGAATTTTGGGGCGTAGCCAGACACTCTATATGGCAGACCTTCAGCGGGCGGTACCTCCTTTATGGTCGCATATTTTGCCAGCGGGCAGCAAAACAGCATTTTCTACAGGCGCTCGTCAAATAATCTCTATCAGCGAGCGCTCTGACTCTTGTTGCGCAGTTCGAGCGTACGCCGAGCAGAGGTAACACTCTATATGGCAGAGGTGTCATCATTCGTTTGGTTACCCGATGGGGTATTTTCTTTCAGCGGAAAGTACCTACGGGCTGTGTGGTCCTTCACAAGGGACCGTGCGGCCCTCAACAACTTTGCATATTCTCGCGGAATCCGCGAAAATGCGGCCACTGCGCCGCAACTCATCTATGGAGAAACGGCAATCGCTCTCCAAGCAGCTCTCCGCTCTCGTTTGAAATTTGGTCAACATTTTTTGAATATTTGCAAGTGGACCTTGAGAAATCAGCGGTATTTTTCCGGTGCTCGCTTGCTCATAAATCGCATGGCCGCCTGCCCCGGTAATTATCTGATGGTTTGCTTCCCATCATACCCTCAGGGATCAAATAAGCAGACTGGTGTTGTATGAGGCCAGAATCTGGTCAGAAAGGTCTGAAAGGCTAGCGATTCTAAGAGCCGCTTACAGCTGGTCGAGGCAAATTTCAGGGTAAGAATAGTCACTCAAAATTACAAGCTTTCGACTGATAAAACAGTCAGTCCATAAGAATGGAAAATACTGCCCTACACGTACCCTACAGACCACACCCTGAGGGTAAAGTGCTCTATGGGCGGAACTGATATTATAAAATGGACAGCCCTGTGGGTCATTCATAGGCTGGTTTAAGAACACTGCTCTACGAACTACCTACAAACCGATGTTCATAAACAAGGAGAACGCTGTGGGCCGCTCAAAGACCGATATTCTAGAAAGGACTCCTAATGCCTCACCCCTCTACCCGCCATCCAACAAAGCGCTGTTTAAAAAAAGGCTCTTTACCACTCGGCCACTCGCAGTCATAATTAGAGGGAAGCACTGCCCTGTGGGCCGCTTACAGTCCGGTAATTATTGAAAAGAACTGACCTGTAAGCCCCTACACTCCATATTTCTAGAGACGCTGCCCACTTTCATGCCATACTTTATTGAAAACTAGCTGGCTTACCCGGCTCCGGCGCATGTTCCAAATAGAAAATTCCATTTCTTAACCGATCCGGACCAAACTTGATACACATACACTTCGGGCCCCGGCGGGTGTCACAGTCCACTTTTCGCTATCGATCGATGTCGATTTTATCGATTTTTTGCAAAATTTGAGCTAGGGGGCTGGAATTTGGCAGGGGGTGTAATCGAGGATGCTGATCACCCCCACGGGGGTGATCAGCATGCTCGATTACCCCCCTGTGCCAACTCCCAGCCCCGTAGCTCAAATTTTGCAAAAAATCGATAAAATCGATATCGATCGATGACGGAAAGTAGCCTATGACACCCGCCGGGGCCCAAAGTGTATGTGTGCCAAGTTTGGTCCCAATCGGCAGACAGACAGACATACATACAGACATACAGACATACAAACAGACATTCAGCTTTATATATAAGATTTAACTCTAGTATATGCCGCTTATCGACCGAATCTGCACTAGTGATTCCGTGCGAACCCCTACAACCCGATATCACAAATGTCTCACGCCCACAGACGGAATCTAAAAAAAGTGCTGTCCCGTGTGCCGCACTGCTCTACGAGCCCCCACAAAGCGATCTTCTGAGGGAGAATGACAGCCCACAAACCGTTTTCTAGATGGGGCAAACTTGGGCCGCTCACAGGACGATAATTCGACCCCCCCCCAACAAACAAATATTTCAAGGAAACTGCCATTGAATCGCTCCCATTTTACCACTGCGGATTGTGTCTGTTCTATGGACAGCCAATAAATCGAAGTTTTAGAAATTAATGCCTTACGCCGGAGACCCATAAGACTGCCCTACACGCCGCTTACCATCAGTACTCTGAGAGTATCTTCGCCCTTTCGCCACCAACTTTTAACGAAAGTTTCATTGTTATCAAGATAATAGTGGTGTTTTGACCTTGGGAAAAATTCCAAAGGGTTACGAATGTTCAAGGGAGTGGTTCCTGTTGGGTCTTCGCTGTCCCTCCCGCCGCCAAAAAATCTGTGGATCGCCATCACTGCTACCATACACCGCGCCGTTGTGAAGATTGCAAGCCTTCCCCCACCTTTCAAAAAAGAACGATTATATTCGTTTTCAATATGAAGCATCCCGAGTTCCATTCCGGCACGGAGCCAGTTCATCGTACCTGATCTCTCATGTAGCAAAATTCACCCTTCTTTTGATTCCTACTCGTCATGGGTTCGCTTCTACCGTCCTTACATATCTTGATGACCAGCAGATCAAAATGAGCCTCACCGCTCATTCTTCATGACTATGGAAAATGTGCACAAATACACAAACACACAGTTTTTCTGCTTTATATATATAGAGATTATTTCCTTTTCTTTCGTGATGTAACATATTCATATTATTATATTCTGTAACACTTTCGACAACTAAATGCAAAGTAGAAACCAGTCAAATTTTGAAATCGACCACAGCCACTAACAAACTCGTGTGAGACGGGGAAGGAGGAAGAGCTGATAGCAACCTCCAAAATCACCTTCATTGCAATTAAAAAACCCTTCCAGATAACTTGTTTCGAAATTGCTAAATCATTAGCTGGCAAAGTAGTCGAGATGGAACCCACATATCAAAATCAGTCACAACCACATTTCGTGAAAGAAGGGGAGGATGGAGAAGGGGGTAAGGAGCTGTTAGAAACCGTATGAAAGCGTCATTCCTATGAAGCTCATCACCATCTAAATCAATCCTTCAAAGGCATGTCCAGGCTAAACCTAACCCCCCGATTAGTGTCCCCAGAAGAGGGGCATCTGCGTTGGTTCGGTCTTCTAACGTTGTCTCTGAATGAAGATAAGGGGCCTGGAAGTCCTGACTGGGCGGAGTCTGATATCAGACTCCGCCCAGCCAGGGTCTGCCTCTCGACACGTACTGACAAGACAGTGAGCAGAAGCTGCACACTGCTGCAACTGCACCCATGCAGTTGCAGCTCCTCCCCGCTGGCATGCCGACGAGGACGAGCGATTCGAAACTCGTCCGCGCCCTCAAGACAGGGTCCCCAGGAATTGGGTTTTTTGTGAATTTTGGAGAGTTTGAAGTTCGGAACTGTAATCGGGCCACGGAAAGGCCCCAGAATGACGAAAACATGGGGGGTCAAGTTTTGGGTGGGCGTTTCCTTCAAAGTAATCCGATACAACAGAGACTGACATGAAAAAATGTCGAGAGGAAACAAAGAGACTGACATGAAGAATGGCGAAGTAGGAACCAGTCATCTAACCCATAACAAGACGTGAATTCAATCGTACCTGCAGAGTTCATGCTTGCGAAAGGGGGGGGGGGGGACTGTTAGGAACCCAACGAGAGTGTCGGCACCTCGAACATTATAGTCTTTTGCACAATAGCCGCACCTCTTTCTAGAACACTTCTCGAGGAGAAACGATAGCTACTGTACAAAACACGATAGTCTTGTTGACAAACTTTACCCCCGCATCCACCGCCATCACTTGCCTCATTTCGCAACTCGTCAACATGTAAGTGCAAATCCTTTCCATTCTTTATCTTATATATAAAGCTGAATGTCTGTTTGTCTGTCTGTATGTCTGTATGTCTGTGTGTACGTATGTTCCGAATAGAAAATTCCATTTCTGAACCGATCGGGACCAAACTTAGCACACATACACTTCGGGCCCCGGCGGGTGTCATGTAATCGAGCATGCTAATCACCCCCGTGGGGGAGCATGCTCGATTACACCCCTCTGCCAAATTCCAGCCCCCTAGCTCAAATTTTGCAAAAAATCGATAAAATCGACATCGATCGATAACGAAAAGTGGACTGTGACACCCGCCGGGGCCCGAAGTGTATGTGTGACAAGTTTGGTCCGGATCGGTTAAGAAATGGAATTTTCTATTCGGAACATACGGCGGAGCCGGGTAAGCCAGCTAGTCATACAATAATCCTTGCAGAAAAAGTCGAAGTTGCCGGTTCAATGTTTGTTATTTAAGTTGATTCGTTACCATCAATCAGGTATTGAAGGATGTCGAGCAAAAATATTAAAAGAGCGGGTTTTGTAGTACTTCATACCTACAGTATTCCAGTGCTCAAAAGGATAGTTTAGATAATGCAGTTTGAATAATGCCTCTGAAGGCAGTGGCTTGACAGAATGAGAACCGTGACAAAACAAGGTCCTAGAAAGGAGCCCCGTAATTAACTGCCACTTCATCCCCGAAAATTCAACGCGAAAGGCAGCGAGCTGAGTGGTACCTATGGGAATTTCTTGGGACAAACGATACGCGCGTGGTAGTTTTTGTTAGCTAGAGAGCACGGTCTACAAATGCTTCAATCGCTATACTCCAGGGAGTCGCCTGTACAGTCAAGTAGATTTTCCGCTTAACATAGTGTGCTTGCACTGAAGGTGAAATGCGGTGAAATTTGCGCGTAGCCAAACAAGTATCGTCGACTCTAAAAATCGTGACGACGTCTGCAGTGCGGCCAGTGCGCGCCGCACGGCACTGCCGCTTTAACGTAAGGCAATCTTGCTTCTCAGCAGTGTAGGCTCCCTGCGGTAGCCATGAAAGTTCCTGTAAGCAAAAAAGATGCAAAAAGAAAAAGAAAAAACCAAGAACTCACCTTCTCCACGTAATTTGGGCGAATCACTAGGCGGCAGTGCCGTGCGGCGCGCACTGGCCGCACTGCAGACGTCGTCACGATTTTTAGAGTCGACGATACTTGTTTGGCTACGCGCAGATTTTACCGCATTTCACCTTCAGTGCTAGCACACTATATTAAGCGGAAAATCTACTCGACTGTACGTGCTATGATTCTGATTTGACAGCAACCGGATATGACATATATTCGTGTTCAGCAGGTCAAGTTAGCCTACTTTGTAATGTTTTGATAACTGACACTCTCACTCTATGGCATTGACGAGTTTTCGAGGTAGTTTTGTTGCATTCACTCAGACATTCGTGCTTAAGTCCCGCAAGAGTCCGCTCACAAGATGTGCTAAATCGCGAAGAAAAAGCTCTATCTTATGAGTTCAGCGAGTCAATTTCTAGTAACGCTTTGTTTTCGGCAGCATCATTTTCTTGCGTGCATATGATTCCTTCTAAACTGTTGAAGTGGTTGACCTATCATTCGAGAGAAATTCCTTGTATGAGTGTTTATGCTGTTCATTTCCAAAGAAAGAAATCATTGAAATAATAGGTTGTCCCATAAGTTTTTTCATATTCGGACCTTCAATTCGATTTTTCTCAGGAACTACAGCACCTAATAGGCTGGAAATTTTTGGCAGTAATTCTGAGCGAATCAGCTATATAATCACCTACTTCCGGGGAATACAGAAGTGATACAGGCAAAGTTTGAAAATTGAGCGCATTATTTTTTTCTTGGTTTCTAGCCATCAGAAAAATGCAGCAAGTGCATTTATAAATATCCGATGAGGAGAGTATATGCATGAAAAAATAGGAAATTTGCAGAGCTGTTTTGAACTGAGATATGATGATTTTTGTTTTTTCGGAAATTCGGAAAAATTTTTTATTTTGGTTTGGAGCATGTTGCGGATTGGACTTGGTGCGAACTTTTGAACGCCATCTTGTAGAACTTACTTTGATCTGTCGAACGGTACCCTGCAATTTATCAGGAGTGCAAGAAGAACTGATTTACGTCGTTGAAAAGTCAGGTATGAAAAGATTTATGGGACAACCTAATAGTTGCAAGGACCAATCCAACCTAATACTACACGCCCGTGCTTTGTGAAAAAAAATCACTGCACTTCGCTGGAGTTCGCCGAACTCTGCGTTGCGTCGCCATATATTGCTTTAGGGTTGACAAATTCTAAATCCGAAAGCACCATCCAACCCAGCTCGACGAGATGCATCTTCTGGTATATAAAAGTGCCTGTTTGGGCACAACAGTCTGTAAGAATTTAACGATGTGTGTTTTCAAATTTTACGATAAGGTGATCGTTGTGCATGACTGAACACTCTGAGCAGCAAACCGTGAACAAGAATCTGGAAGGCCAGACAGGCACTTCTGCATATTGAAAAATGCATCTCGTCGAGCTGAGTTAAGTGGTGCCTTTGGATTCAAATTGGTCCAGTCTGAAGCGAGATATGGCAATGCAGAAGTTCGGCGAACTCCGACGGCGTGCGGTGATTTCTCAGAAATTACGAGCGGTTGATACTCTTATAAGGAAGGATAAAGTGTCGCACTGGCTATCTGGGAGGAAATAAATTAGACTGAAACGCCGGACGCTGATCTCAAATCTGCTTTTATGCGTCAAACTTTATGAAAGAAATCTCAACGCTTGAAAATCAAAATTTGATCTTTGCTATAAGAGGCATAAAATACTGCGGATTTGGTGGCTGTGCTCTTGTTTCAGTGTACTAATACAAAATTACAAAAGTTAAAGTGCAAAATGTATTATCCACTTTCAGCGGTTTGTGCCTCTTTTCTCTGTTTATAGCCGCTTAGGGGTTCAAAGACCCGGGATTTTGAGCATTTATAACTTTTTTATCAGGAAGTTGTCCGCGGAAAAGGAGAGCAGATTGGTGGTATCATTTTCAGTTTGTTAATGTGATGGTATTATGTTTTTGTCAGACCGAGACTGTGCCGTCACGAGCAAAGTTGAAGTTGAGCGGATCTTGATTGAGTAAACCTTCAGATCTGCACGCACAAATGGAATGAAAGACTTACGAGAAGATGTTCATTGCATCTGCATATATTCAGAAAAGCAACTCATTGCCCAAAGTTCATCTTGCCTCCCAAATATTTCTATTTTGAAAAAGTAGAGAGTAAAGAGTAGTAAAGACTAATAAAGCATCAGCTTTTTGAGAGTGAAGTTAGATTTTGGAGATAAATGTCGGCTTTTCCAAAAGGTCCATATATTTTGCGTCAACTTACTGATAAGGAAGATGGCAAAATGGAATGCATGTATGACTCTTAAATTAACTCTTAATTTATTCAACAACCACCAGTAATCAGATGTTTAAGAACAAAGTTCAGCACACTGATTAGCCAAAAAAGCAACATTTCGGCTAGCATTCAAAGTGAGAACTTGTTGCACAATGTCGGCAGGAAAGATCGCAGATAAGGTCGACTCAATCTCCGACTCCTCCGTGACGTGCTGGCAACTGCTTCTGGTGTCTTCATTACTGTGGCTGTTGTTGTAGCTAATTTCTTCTTCTGTTGATGCACTCGACATTCTATCGCACTCTGAGGCGCCGCTTTCTCCATCAATCCCTTCTATTGATTTGACAGGGTTCTTGGTATTTGAGGGGGCTTCCATGTGACTGATCTTCATCGCTTTCCTTTCGCAGTAGTCACGAAACGAAGAAAACTCCTCGAGGTTAGTGTGCACTTCCGTGCTCCTTTCCCTTTTCGACATCTTATCTCTTGTTGTGATAAGAGTATCGATATGTGCTACAATTTCTTGTAAAACGTCCTCCTGGCTGTAAGCGTTCAGCAATTCTTTTTTCTCAGATTTCTTGTGACACTCGCTGGTCTCATGGTTCATCGCCGTCTCATAATCGGAGCTTGTTAGCTGCAGCTGCGTTTGGTCAGAAGTTTCGTTAATTGCGTGTAGCGGCGATACCAAGTCTTCACAACAGATAAGAGGCAAGTCAAGGAGTTGGGATGTACATTGAGAGAAATCAATGAGAGGTTCGTCACTCGTATCAGAATTCGAAGAGGAGGTCGATGAATTTATCCAAAGTTCATCCGTCGTCAGGTTGCCATGGTCTAAATGTTCATTTGCAGTATGAGATGGTCCTTATTTTATTATAGAAACGTACTTGATATGCTGACACTAAACGGGTGTTCTTCCTCGAAAAGGTTACCCAATCCGTCACCGAGTTCCTCGAGAGGTTCCTAGACAATCGTTTTTGCAGTGCTTTTGTGCTGTATGATGCATAGACCGCAGACCATTTGCAACTGATAACCAGGGAGATTTTCCAATGCAAGTGGACGGATCGCGTTTCTTTCGCATAACTCAGCAAGCATATCGTCAATAGCACCTATTCTCTCATTTTTACGCTCTTCATTCCACGATTCCCGTCGTAGCAATACCTTTAACGAGCGCCGATTATTATCAAAAATGAGTGGATAAACTAAAATGGACTTTTGAATATTCTGGATCCTCGGGACTAGCAAAGATTTTTTGAGCAATAAGCTTTGCCCTTATCGACACATCCTCATCTGGAAAGTTTAAAATGCTTTATTTTTGTGTCTAATCAATACCTACCCCTACAATCATCGGCCGCCTCAACGTGGCGTGGGAGTGACACTGTGTCGTACTGCGCACAGCCGAGTGTATACTCTGGTAAGGCCTTTCAAGCTGTGAAGGGGTTCGATTTGGTGGCCTGGCTGGCTCTTAGCTAGGCATCCGACCGAAACCGGTTTCCGGTTTCGGTCCGATGCCTAGCTAAGAGCCAGCCAGGCCACCACCGCCGTCTGGTTTTCCACTCGTTAGTCGGTTCTCTCCGCTCCACACGCGGGTCAGCAGTCGCCAAATGGAGATCAAGAGTAGGTTTAGTAAGCCTGCTTTGTAGGGGAGAACTTTTATTGCTCCATCAGCAAGAAGATATGAAATAAACCCTGTACATCGGATTACAGCGCCGGGTGGTAGCAAGAACGATGTCAGGCTCAGGGCGCCTTTTGAATCGAACAAAAACGACACGTCCGCTCGGAGAACATGCCATGGAGACTGCCTCATGCTCTGCACCTACAACGCCAGGACAGTCTCCACAAACGCCGACCTCCACGCTCTTCTCGACGCTGCAGAGCACATCAAGTACCACATCATCGCTCTGCAGGAGATGAAGTCCAGGAAGAAGGACGTGCGACAGATGAGTGACGGGATCCTCATCATTGTGGTGAAAAGGTTCCATCACGAAAAAAAAAACACTGGAGGCGTTGGTTTCGTCGCCACCCATCTATCGTCCATCTTGTCGATTCGCATGAGATCCTGTCACCTTGACTGGCCATCCTACGACTACGACTTCCACGTCAGAAGACCGTCAGCATCATCAACATCAGCAAGCTGACGACTCAGAACTAGATGCTTTTTACGAAGACCTGTAGGAGGTCGTCCGCAACGAGAAGTCCTTTTACAAGTTTGTTGTGGGCAACTTCAATGCGAAAATCTGGATGCCAATAGAAAAGGAATTTAGGATCGGAAAGGTTTGAATAAGGGCTCCGGAACGAAAACGGCAAGCGTTTCTTTGGGCTTCCCTCCGCCACTCGACATCAAGTTGTGACTGGCCTATCGAGGAGGACCCAACGTACGACTACGACTGGCTTCTGAAAGGACCGTGCCTGCGGAGAATGCGCCTCAGTGACTGTCGAGAAGAGTTGGAACGCATTTCAAGCCCACCAAGGAATTACCCAACGAAGAAGATCCCTGGGGCAAGATCCGGGTGCAACACGTCTCAAGCGACTGATAGCCAACGGCAGTTGCAGAACAGCTTTGCAGGAGGATCCTCTTACGCCCATTAACACCCATGATGACACCCGTTACCCACTGGAGAAGTACCACCATGAATTCTACCTGCTGAATTGCTTACCGCGATCCAGACCATGAGGACGTCAACGGCCCAGGACCAGACCATCTTTCTATCGAATCTGCGAGCCGGAGGACAACGTCTACACGAGATTCTCGCGTCGCACCTGACATCTACCATTCAGAAGGAGAGGATTCCCGACCTGTGAAGAACGTCAAGAACCGTTCTTCTAGAAGGGTGAACGGGAGGATCTTCGGAACTACCGTCCAATATGCTTGCTGATTGTGCTGTACAAGCTTCTCACAAAGTATTCTCGCTCGCATATCTAGGACACTAGATGAAGCCCAACTACAAGAACAAGCTGGATTTTGCAAAGGATTCAGCTGCATGGACAAAATCCAGGCGGTTCCGAGGGTCATAGAAGTCTGCCTCGAATACCCATTGTTGCCTCTCGTCCTAATCTTCGTCGACTACGAGGAAGCCTTTGACAGCGTCGAAACCAACGCCATCCCGTTAGCGCTAGTCGATCAAGGAGTGGACCCAGCTTACGTGAGGACACTAGCCGACTGTTACAAGGACTGTACAACAACAACGCAGCTATCATCGCCCCTGACCATCCCAATTGGGAAAGGGGTTTGACAAAGCGACACAATCTCGTCGAAGCTGTTCACCGCAGCTTTGTAGTGGGTGATGAAGTCACTGAATTGGGACGAGAGAGGCATACGAGTTGATGGGAAACTTCTGTCGAAGCTTCGTTTTGCGGACGACATCGTTCTCTTCTCGAGCAGTCACCGAATTAGAGACGATACTGAAGGAACTGAGCGAAGTAGGGAAGGAAATCGGATTGCGAAAAGTCGGAAGAAGACTCAGTTCATGGAGAACGCCCTTTGTGAAGATGCAGAAATGGAACTGGAAGGCACCCCTATCATGGAGACGTCTTCTCAAGTGTATCTCGGACGTTTGATGAACATGGACATTGCTTGAGAGAAGAACTTAACAGGGGAAGAAGAACAGCCTGGGCCGCCTTTGGGCCTCTGAAGGAAGCCACCGACCAACTGACGGACCCGGAGCTTCGTGCCCACCTGTTCGATTAGACCGTTCTCCCGGCGCTCTGTTACGCAGCTGAGATTTGGATTGACACCGTAGCCACGTCGAAAGCTTCAAAGACCACTCACAGAGCGCTAGAGCGCAGTCTTCTAAAGATGACCCGACACAGACAACATCTTGTCGGACTTCGCGTGCGAACGTGAGAAAGATGTCCCGTCTTCTGACCCAACGGAATACGTTGCGAAAGCGAAGCGTCGACGGGCCGTCACATTATGAGAAGAACAGACGATAGATGGACACCAAAAATATTAGAGTGGATTCCTCGTGAAGCAAAACGTCTCCGAGGAAGGCCTCCAACGATATAGGCAGACGTGTTCGTGGAAAGGATGGGCCAGCTGAGAAGTCATAGATACGATTTCCACACCTGGAACTCGTAAACGCAGCTTACGACGTCAGCCAAGAAGATCGTGGATGTGTGAAGCGAGGGACACAGAGAAATAGAAACTGCTGTGCTAGGGCCCGCACGTCACGTAAAGATGGGCCATTTAAGTATCTAAGTAAGTAAAACAGAACTTACAAATGAAAAGCTCAGGGAGAGCTTTGTAGAAAACATCTGCTCCATGATGCACGATCTCGTGTGGAAGAAAACGAAATTTTATATCTAGTGTGCGATGAAGAATCACATGATGAAATTCACTTTAAAAAACACTTTGAAATATTCGGTCTCTTGCAAAATTCAGAGAACCTATAAGTAGACTGTGCGAGTATGTCCTTGAATTTGTCACCGCTCAAAACGCATCCACCATGACGAGCAGCCAGGGTAGTGACGTAGAGATCATCGTAGTTGATGAAAGCTCTGAAAGCGATAACCATGACTGCAAAAATATTTAGGAATGATGGGTTTGCTGATATCATATCTATCTATATGTATGCAGAACTTGAAGTTTGTTTGAAGTGAAGTTACATGGAATTTCTTTGCGCATGGATGTTTTTAACCCCGGAGGAGGTTTTAGACTACTGTTCAGGGAAATTCGCTAGGTGCTTTTATCGATTTGGAAATGAAGCCTTATCAACCGCTATCAAACCTACCTCATTTTCATTTCGCGGTGAAGAAATGTGCTCACTCGAAACAAGGACGCTGCTTAACTCATGCAGTAAAGAGGAAGGGTGGGGGCTTTCAGTGCAGTAAAAGAGACCAGAAAGGTGGCAGAAGGCAGTAGATATACACAGCAATAGAGAGAGTCGGAGCCTGAAGATAACGAAGAAGACAGAACGGAGGAGAAACAAAGTATGGCTTTCTTCCATCCTCCTGCACGATGACCCGAACTCGATCAAGAAAATCAGCTAGATTTTGAGGTCGTGGAGGTCGCTTACTAAACTCATGTTTTTTCTAGTTCCTGCTCTTACATGTGTATCTTCATGCAAGAATAATCTTAAATGATTGAGCTAGATGCATTTTGAAGGGTTATAACGTTTTTGGTATGACGTTTTTTGGTATACTGTCAGGGCCCGGCACGAGGTGGGAAAACGGGGTTTTCCAGAACGAATTCCCCTTTGATCCCAATAAATTTTACGAATACCCCCTTGAGCCCAAAAATGACGTTTTGTGCTTGTGCGACGAGATTACCGGCCACACTTCGCCTAAAAGCGCTCAAAAGCGCCCAAATTGCTCAAATTCCTCAAATTACTCCTCAGCTGTATCAAGATAGGAAACAGGAAGAAAAATAAGCAAGAAAAATGATTAAGGAATGAGAAAATATCAAAGAAACGCAGTCATAGGAATGAGAGACGCCGTTCCCGCGCGTATCGATTGATTGGGGCGCGCTTTCCGTCTTAGAAAGCTAGGCTGCTGATGCGGTTTTGGGCTCTAACAAGGACAAGAGGAGGAGCTTCGGAACCAAAATTTCACCATGTAGTAAACTTTAGGTGTACAACAGATTTATGTAAAAATTTTGAAAAAATTATGTGAATTGAGAGTTTTGCCGACCTCAGGTGGGAATTAGGTCGGCAAATGCCGACCTAATTTGGAAATTAGTTAAGGAAACTCTTCATTCACATAAGTTTTTCATAATATTTCATACTTTATTACTTAGCCCTATTGCGCATATACACACCGAATCCCGCGCGATTTCGTTACCTCTGCGTTGCAAACGAGCCATTTTTCCATTTCTTTGGTAGCGCAAAATTTTCAGATAAAAGTTTGCCACAACCTTCAGTCACATAATTTTTCAATGAAACTCCTCAGTTAAGCCCTGCAAGCCCGTGTGCATTTACTTACCAAGTTTCATACCATATCGTTCATCTGCGCGTTTAAACGAGCCGTTTGAATTCACATCTTCATTTACCAGTTTTGCGAAATTCTCGGAAAAAATGCTAATTACTCGTTCCGTTCACATAAGTTTTTCATAATTTTTCATACTATGTTTCCACTAGCCTCTCTCCGTTCGCATACAAAATTTGGTGTCATATCGTTACACATACATTGAGAACTAGTCATGTATGCTGTTACAAATAGCATCGCTTGGGCGACGTCGCGCCTGCGGCAATTAGCGACGACGCGGTTTGACGCGCGCGAACTACAGTGTTCGCCTGTTGAGGCACATAACATGTCAAGATAAGTAGCGAGCATGAACTACCAATTTTTTTCCGGGGCTCCGCCCCGGACCCGGCAAAAACGATTTTCCCTTTGCTTTTTGGCTCCAAAACGATTTCCAGCTTGTCATTTGCCGACCTCGTGCCGGGCCCTGTATACTGTCGATGGTTTTATATCTGCTCTTACACTACTCAAGCTATCACAGGACTATCCCTCTTGCGGAATCGTGCACTTCACCATTAATTTAAAAAATCAACCACTTACTTCCGATCGCCACGTCCAGTTCGAGCTGGTGTAAACGTCACCAAGCCTAATTCTTCAAGCTTCTGCAAAATCATCATTGTGACTAAATATCACACTTTATTACCTAACATTACTTCAAGATAAATGACGTACGTTATTTATTATCTGGAAGCGTTGCATCACATCTTCCTCGTCCCCCCCCCCGGCCTCTCCCTCCCCAGCTTCCATAAATATGGATACAATCTGTATCAGTTACATACTCCCGTTGGCGCAAAGGTACTACGCATCCCGAACTCGGCACAAAGCTTTGGCGTGACGCGATTACGTCAATGGGAAAGGAATTATACACCTATTTTGACACGCAAAGACTGAAAGCCGTTGCGTCTGGCCAAGATAGTCCGTGCATGGGAGAGACAGCAGATGGTAAGAATGAAAAAGCGCTCGATCAGAGAGACGCAGTTATGTCGGCAGTCTTTGCGTGCTTTGAATGATCTATACGAACTCAGGCTGTGGATCTGACCTGAGTCGCGGACTGTGCGTGGGATCTTTTCTATAGAACTCTTTCTAAGTGGTCGTGCAAACAGACTATAAGCTTCTTTCGTAGCACTGTTTCTAGCGGTTAGCACTGCGTTACAACGACGATGACAAAGCTCAAAAGCTTATGAATCCGCTCAGCAAAACTCCATGGAAATTTGACAACCTCTACTAGGAACGCGAACATAAGATGCTGGAAACTCTTCTAGCTTTATACTTGGACGGACTTCAGACCATACCTTGTTTAGGCTAGCTTGCTCTTGCAAATCAGTTCAGTACTAAAAAAATAAACTGTTCTGAATAACGTGTTTGCAAACGTTCAGACCATTACCTTCTTGTGAACAATACAGCTCAATAATTATGCTCTGCTTGAGCTACGGACAAGGTAACGCTCTAAGAAAATATAGAGTTTTGCAAACGCGCTTAACTGCGATTGTTTGGGTTTAGGTCATGTGTAATAAAGTGCTGACCAAAACCGTAGGTCCACCCTGAAAACTGCCGTAGCTCATTGACCTGAAATTTGGCACAGTTCTGTTTAACAGGTGTTTTTTTGGTGATTCCGCAGTTTCTCAGCAAGTTTGGAAGCGTTAGAGTTTCATTTATCTCATAGATGCAAAGCGCTTGATATATTCAGAGCGCACCCGAATTAGATCCAACCGCAGGCCTGCGCTCAAACGTCTGCCTTCAATCTCCTTCTGCAAAGTTTTGACAAGTTTGAAGCGGAGCAACGACATTGTTTGTATTATGGGAAGCCGTATGCAACGGTTAAATTATGATCTAGCATGTAGGCTAATTGCGGAAATGATCCTGCAAAAGCTGATTGCGACAAGCCTTGAAGTCATTTCTGGTTCTGACCAAAATTCTCATATGACTCGCGAGGCAAATACATTAAAGGTGTTTTCATTGTTTAGCAGCTAATATAGTGACAAAAATCAGGAAAGATAACCTGGGTTTGCCTAGCATTATTGAACTGACTAACATTATCATCACACTACCATTTGATTCAACTGGCTTGGCATCGGCAAAGGCGGGGCTTCGTGACCTAATTAAGGCTAGGTAATGATCAGAGAGCACTCGCGCGAGAGAGACGCAGGTGCGTCGCGGGCGCGAGCAGCCTCAATTACCCTAATTTCCGGGGTATAAGGCGCAGTAGCTCTCTCCGCGCGCGGACTGATGTATGATGACGCTCGCGATGCGCGGCGCCGCAGCAACCTCCTTCACCCAGCAGTGGCTTTTTGCTCCTTCTTTGGCTGCGTTCATACTGATTCCCATGTTCTGGAACTGTTCCCGCACAGTTCTCGCACTGTGCTGAAACTGTGCGGGAACTGTGCGGGAACTGTGCGGGAACAGTTCCAGAACTGTGCTGCATGCGCTGCAGCCGCCCCGCACCGTTTTGAACGGCGGGAGTTGGAGAATTTTGACCGTTCTCAACGGTTTTTCTTCCAGATTTCGCTCATTTTGGCCTTAATCCTCCATCCCGCTTCCCTTTTTGATCAGCAGCACTGCGAACTCGAAGCGGGGTTGAAGAATGAGCGCTTTTCTGCGCCGTGTATTCGGAAAGATGGGCTATCGTGCGATTGTTCATTCTGTCTTCTTGTTTTTTGCTCAAAACTACTTCATTTGTTCCAGGAAGCGGCTGCCCAGTTTCCATAGCCATCTGCCACGAATTAGGGAGCAGGAGAAGTCCTGAAATTGCATGAGTTGGGACTTGTCTCTTGTTTTTCATGATTTTGGGCGTTCTTAGCCTTGTTCGTTTTTCCATGTCGTTGCTTCTCCGTTCTTTCTTCTACCCCGCTTCAAATTCACAGCTTTTCTCATCACTAGGAGAAGCGGGGTAGAAGAAAGAACGGAGAAGCAACGACATGGAAAAACGAACAAGGCTAAGAACGCCCAAAATCATGAAAAACAAGAGACAAGTCCCAACTCATGCAATTTCAGGATTTCTCCTGCTCCCTAATTCGTGGCAGATGGCTATGGAAACTGGGCAGCCGCTTCCTGGAACAAATGAAGTAGTTTTGAGCAAAAAACAAGAAGACAGAATGAACAATCGCACGATAGCCCATCTTTCCGAATACACGGCGCAGAAAAGCGCTCATTCTTCAACCCCGCTTCGAGTTCGCAGTGCTGCTGATCAAAAAGGGAAGCGGGATGGAGGATTAAGGCCAAAATGAGCGAAATCTGGAAGAAAAACCGTTGAGGGTGCCTTCATACCGCGCCCGTAGCAGCCGCCAGCAGCCCGTAGCAGCCGCCAGCAGCCGCCAGCAGCCCGTAGCAGCCCGTAGCGGCCGCCAGCAGCCGTCAGCAGCCCATAGCCGCCGCTGGCCGCTTTTGATCCGGAGCGAAAAACCACCAGAATCTTACTACTTTAATTGCTTTTACCTACGCTTTTCATTTTGTACGCTTTTTCTTCTGTTGCCGCGAATGTGAGCTTGATTTCACCCACTACTTTTGATCCATTGTTCTGCTGCCGGAATTTGCATCCTCCTATCGGTGCCTACATTTCACTTGTCTTGTCATAACGATTGCAAGCGATTGTCAAAGTCAGAAGCACCCACCGCGCGAATCAATTCGGCAAACTTGCGAAATAGTGGAATGCAGTTTGGATATGCATCGATATCTAACAAGAAGAGTGAAGCAAAAGCATACTCAAAAAGTAAACAAATTGCAAATCTGCAGAAAATGGACGCATCCAAAGTCAGAGAGAATCACAAAGGAAAGAAACTTCTGCGAACTATGGTTCAAAGAATGAACCAAACGGCGTCAAGATAATGAAATGGACACAAATATTATATGTGAGTTGAACTACACACTGCTGGCAACAGAAGGAAGCTTGGAAAATGAAAAGAGTACCCAGGAGTACTAAGATGATTTCATATACTGATGATTTTGCGTTCCTATAACAAAAGCGGCCAGCGGCGGCTACGGGCTGCTACGGGCTGCTACGGGCTGCTACGGGCTGCTGGCGGCTGCTACGGGCTGCTGGCGGCTGCTACGGGCTGCCAGCGGCTGCTACGGGCTGCCAGCGGCGGCTACCGGCGCGGTATGAAGGCACCCTGAGAACGGTCAAAATTCTCCAACTCCCGCCGTTCAAAACGGTGCGGGGCGGCTGCAGCGCATGCAACACAGTTCTGGAACTGTTCCCGCACAGTTCCCGCACAGTTTCAGCACAGTGCGAGAACTGTGCGGGAACAGTTCCAAAACATGGGAATCAGTATGAACGCAGCCTTTGGTATTTTTCTCTCAATAGTAATTTGTTTCAGAACAAATCTCTCCTCTTTTATTCTTCAAAAAATACAAGAATAAAACAAAAAGAGCACCTTCAAAATACCAGTAGTATTTTCGTAAAGGAAAGCAAGTTTCAGTACCTGGAGCACTACTGGAAATGAAAGAAAAGCACAAATAGCACGATAACACTGGAAACAAAAGAAAGAATTATCTAAACACCATAAACACCATTGAGAACACCTTCCTCTCACCTGTAGAAACGATTTTAAAGTATACATATATTTGAGAAGAGTAAAAAACTAGGGAAGAGTAAAAAAGTACCTGAAGGCATGATTTATGGGCAGTGAAGTATAATCACAGCATACTGAGTTTTCAGCTTTCTGGATTTAGAGAGCAATCATTTGAAAAGCGTTTTCGAGCTATTGTTCGTTGCGGCGGGTGCGCCTTATACCCCGGAAATTAAAGTAGATCACAAAACTCCGCCCTAATGGTGCCAAGCCACTTGAATCAATGTTTAACATTACTAGCATTATTACTGACTTATGTTTTAGAAGCGAAATAGAATGCGACTTCCAACCATGAGTTTTATCTAAACCTTTTTGCATAGTACGTACATATTTGGCGGACGACTTGCATCCGCATACCTGCTTTTGGGACCCGGCACCCTTGTGATGGGTCTCCGCTCGGAATCCTGCAAGTCGATGCAAGTGGTCCGCCATATACGGTAGCAAGACAGGCAGCGTCCAGGCAAATCTGGACATATGGGGATCTCACCTGGATAGTAATTTTGGGGCCTTAACTGAGCCACTGCTCAGGCGGCAGCTCAAGTAATGCTCTAGCGGCTGAGATATTCTCTCAAAACTGGACCCCGGGCTCGTATTTCGCATGGATTCATGGCGTAACTCACAGGTACTCGCGCGGAACTGATGGGTTGCGCCATGAATTCATGCAAAATAAGATCTTGGGGTCCAGTTTCGAGGAGCAAATCTCAGCCCTTAGATCACTACCTGAGCTGCCGGATGGGCTGTGGCTTAGTTAGGGCCTTAAAATTACTATCCATGTGAGATCCCCGTATGTCTCCACATTTATCTAGACGCTGCCTTCAACCATTTGATGAGCGGAAAGTTGGCACGGAAGTTTGAAGAATACTGCCCATATGTTTGGGAGTTTTGTGCTCTTCTGATCTTTGGTTGGGCTCAAAAAGACACGATTCTATGACAATCTTAAAGGTAGCGGCTCGGCAGAGTTTCGTTTTCTAGATTTTCACCTTTTCGGGGCTTTCTCGCCATGAGAAACCCATGTCTGGGCTTTTCAGCGCATGAAAATGGCGAAAATGAACTTTGTCAGAAGCTTTCTAGGTCCGCATTCAATGGAGAAGTGGGCGGGGCGTGGAACGGGGAAGGCGGGGCGCGGCTTTTTCCGGCGTATCTTCACTGAATTCAGATTTGGAAAGTTTAAAAAAGCTCCATTCGCCACTTTGCGCTGGAAAGTCCAGATATGGGTTTCTCATGACGAGAAGCCCCGAAAAGGTGAAAATCTAGAAAACGAAATTCTGCCGAGCCGCTGCCTTCAATATTCCCAAAGGTCTCTTCGGTACGCCAAACTTCGGCATCCTTTTGCTGCTTCACTTATCTTGCCTGTATTTGTAAGATGTTCCTACATGGCTTGTCTACATGTATTTGCTACCAGTCATTTGTGATGAAATGAATTTGGATTTTGCCTCAAAGCTCTTATTCTTCCATACATCCCCTTGGTGCTCTTCAAGTTGCGGCCCAAGCTCTAACGGGATGTTTAGGCGCACTTTCTGCAGGCATGCCTTTCCTTGCCAACATCTTAAAAGCATCGGCTATATAAACAACTCCACTCTTCTCAAGGTCTTATGGTATATCTTCTTTTCAAGCTCCTAAAAGAATTGCACTCTTGCTTACAGAAGGCGGTGATGGGAGCCACTACAGAGGTATAAACCAATCAAACAAACTTTCTTATATCCACCGCTGTTTCTCTCTCTTCTTGTTGTTGGAGATTTAACAAAAAGCCAGCGGCGAAGTGAAGCCACCGAGTCGGTTGCCGTTTTGTTTCAAACATAATTAAACTTCAAAGTCGCGCATTCTCTTCCACCTCGCATTGAAACCGCTTGAGGCACTTGCAGAAGAACTACTCGTTGCGGCGATCCCTCCCTATTTGTAAAATGCACCCACTTTCGATTCATCAGCTGTTACTACTGGAGAATTGCAGTTACAGATGCTGAGGGAGGGTCATTCAAGGTAAAAGCATCTTATGAAAACGACTAAGATGGACAATAAGTGGAGGACAAAGCTAATGTCTCCAAACATCCGTGATGGAACTTCCTTGCAATGACTGATGAGGACCCTTTCATCAAATGTTGCACGCTTCTTCTGGTCTTCGCTTTCAGAAGAACGACACATGGTACTTGATATGCTTTGAGGCATCGAGAACATGGCGTTTGTCTAAGCGTTGGCGTTGCAAAACCAAAGCATGAGACAATCTACATGACTGTTTCGTTCAATCCAATGAGCGCTTTGAGCAGCAATCGGTCTTGCAACACCCGCCTTAGGTGAAATTAAGCGTGCAGGGGAACTTCTCATTGGGGTCTCTTCTGTTTTTGCTGATAGATTACAAAGGTTTAATTAGAGAAAAGATTCTATAGGCCCTTTTTTGTTTTCCCTCCTTTCTTCTAATTCGACATCCATTGTCACCGCAGACCACGTCAGCAGTGCTCTTCTTATGCCAATTCGCCGCCGGAAAATAAAATCAAGAATCTCTGCTGAAGTAAGCACTCAATCCGGGCTAGAACACATGCAAAGGTCCCAGAATCACACGTCTTCCTGTTGAGCATCTGCTGGCCGGAGGCAGTCGCATGAACTACATTCAGACGATTGCGTAGATTATGAAGGTTCGCTGCAAATACTGCAGTCCCTCTTTCCAAGCCTTGTCTACTACAAGAGACTTTGACAACGTCGAAATTAGCGTGATCAAAGTTCCTTAGTAGACCATAGTGTAGACTGAGCTTGTCTTAGGACGTTGATGACGTGCTGCAACGCCCGTACGACAACAGTGCTGCTTCGTCAAGAGAGCATAAGAGTTAACGAGAACATTCTGATCACTTTTTTGCGGGGTCTTTTCGAGCAGTATCACTATAGCAAAGACGAAGCTGAAGGAACTAAATGTTTAGAATATTTGTATGCAACTAATCGAGAGGAGTTTTTTTGGAAAATGCGGAAATAGAACTGAAAGGTACACGTATTACGGAGATGCCTATTCAATGTGTGTGGCACATTCGATAAACATAGAAAACTATTTTAAAAGATTAGAAGGAGAAGAGTAGCCTGGGCCGCCATCGGGCCTCTGAAGGAATCCACCAATCACTAATGCGCCTAGAGTTTCGAATTCGGTTCAACTCGACCCTTCCCCGGCATTCTGTTAAGCAGCTGTAACTTGAGGCAACAATGTAGCCACGTCGAAAGCTCTAGGGACCACACCGAGCGCTTGGGCGCAGTCTTTTAGGATGTCCCGGCACAAGCAATCTAGTGACTTCGCAGTGCGGGCATGAGAAAAACGTCTCGTCTTCGTGAACTAACGGAATACGTTGCGAAAGCGAAGCACGGACGGGTCGGTCATATTACGAAACAGACGACAGACAAAAACACCAAAAACATCAGAGTGGATTCTTCGTGAAGCAAAACGTTCCCGAGGAAGACTCCAACGAGGTGGGCAGACACGATGGGATGGATTAGCAGAGAAAGACATGGCTAGCATGAGATAGACATTTGATAACATGGTTTACGCTTCGCTGCGCTATGCGCTTCCATGAGCCCTAAGAATCGGTGCACTCTTGTGACTACTGTTATGAGAAGCAAGTCAATCACGCACGATTAATGGGCTGAAGGAATGATAGTGCTAAACGGCTGTTCAATGTTAACGGAGTAGAGATACCGGTCATATACATATACACCTTAGAATCAACTGCAATCTAGAACTGCACTAGCTCATTCCAAAGACGCACAAGAGTGCTGCAGAAGGACAGCTTTAATTACAATTTTGGACAATATTTGTAAGATTTTCCACTTACCCCCAAGAGATGGACGTGCACTGCGTTGAAGTTGTGAGAATTGTTATAAACCACGGGCAAGAATGCGACGACGTCAAAGTCTCTGACAAGAAGCCACCGTATTACTGCCATAAGTCCTGCACAGTTCACAGCTCTGAAGTAGTCAGAATTTGCGAACAAACGCGAGCCATAGGAACGCACTCTCTCCCAACACCGCATGCACTTCTTCCTATATTACAACCGTCTACCACCATGAGCCTTGGCAGCCAGTCGGGACCAGGCTTCACGAAACAGGCTTCCTCGCACATCACCTCTTAAAGTATGGTGAAGCAGGCTGTAGAAGCGCTCAAACACCTTGAGATGCTTGACTCACTAATTGGATCACAAACATCGGACAACCGGAGTAGGGACCGCAAATACGAAAACTGAGAATAACCGATTTCATGCCGTTGAAGAGTGTCAATGAGATAACGGGGTTATCAGTAGCAAGGCGAATTATGTTAACTTTCCCACATAAAGCATGGAGCGGTTTTACATCAGGCAAGTGCTTTGACTTTCCTTGTTGATTGCTGAAAAATAGCTCACTGTACAGTCGCTTCTTTTCATATGATAGTGTGTGTCATTGCACACACAGTTCACCTTTGGCGTCCCCATCCTGGATTCGTGGGAGAAACAAGCCTTCAGGTAAGTGTTTCCAAATTGTTCTTAGCATTTTCTTTCCTTTTTAATTACTAGTCACTTCAAATTGATGTAATCAATAACAATCGGTAAGTCTCTTGCGTTTTTCCGATTGCAAATCCAGGATGAGGATGCCAAAGTGGACTGTGTGTGCAATGGCACACATGATCATATGAAATGAAGCGACTGTAAATTCCTTCCAACAACTTGGGCAGGAAGGTACGCCTTCCACCTTGTTTGCTTTTTCTATGTTATATAACTAACTAGCATCCCAGGCAGTTTCCAAAAATGCCAAAATTCGGCCAGAGGGAGCGATGAGGGTAGAGTCTAAGTAGCTGCGCCGCGCGGGGCCTATGGGCAGTGATCGGAACATACACTGTACAAATGCCTGCGAGCTACGTGCCCATGATCAAATCTAGATTTTTTGATCAGTCAAAAAGAACCACCAAGAATGACGAACTTTTGTATGCAAATGTAATGTGTCCTCTTATATCGCTGTAATTTGAGCATACAGATGTATAGGTTGGTGCAAAAGTAATGTCCGTTTTACGAAGTTTCACTTTGAAAAGCTACATCTTTGCCCAGTCTTCATATTTTTGAATGAAATCAAAACCACCAGGAGCAGTAAACCTTTTGTAACTTAGCTAGCGCCTAGTCATACTGATATCACATACGGTACGAAAACTGAGCGTCAAAAAATTCGCATGTTTTTATTTTGATAATCTCGTCTTTGAGAAGTTACAACTCCATTCAAGTTTTGTTTCTTTGGCTGACACGTATTATGCGCAAGTATAGCAAAGAATTCAACGAAGGAATTCTGCGAAAAGAAAAGATAAAGTTCCAAAACTGTTCACTTTTTGAGCCTATTCGTGGTAGGCCTGAAAGTCCGAAGTTATAAAAATTTGGAATTTTCATGCATGCACCGACGATTGCCTTAATCATAAGGAATTTTCGACCCATAGAGTGCCAGCAGCAGTCTCCATTTTTCGGGGGAGGGGGGAGGGGGGGTCGATTTCTCAATTCGGATATTTTCGAAAATCCACTCAAGCATGCAATAGGTGAGCAACATTCATTCTACACAGTATCTATGTTTTCAGATTCGTCAATGTACTTGAATCGTGGCCAAGAAAGTGAATGATGAAATCTCGGTTCTGAGTGCCGCTGTGTAACGCTGATGAAATTCAATGAACATAGAAAAATAATTGCACAATTGTTAGAAAGTAAAGAAAGTTTTTCAATGGTATGCGAAATCTATATCGAAAAGAAGCTCGTGGAAAAAAAGTAGTTCGGAAAATAGGCCTAGAAAAGCAGACATTATTTCTGCGCTAAACTGATCTCAAATGAGGTAGCAAGCGAACGAACTTAAGATCCCAGCATACGCTCGAATCGTGACTCTCCTGAATTTTGCAAACAAAATCCATGAAGAACCAATTACACCTAAAATATAATATTTCTGCGCCAAAAGTGTTAGCGAACAGAGTTCACGCGATTTGATCGTCGCGATTCAATCGCTACAAGACAAATGTTACGAGTTTATCCCATGCTGATTTCTTGTATTTTGGTTGGATAGTTAATCAAGTTAGTCGTGTTGGAAAACTCTAAGATCGGCATGCAATGGTGTTGTTACAGTTGTCTTGTCGCTAATCGCGACGATCAAATCGCGTGAACTCTGCCCAAGCCTTACGGATTATGCTTTAGGTCCTCCTATCTTTGGACCTGAGCGTCTTTTCGCAGATCGCGATGCAATTGAGCAATGTCGTGCATGAGGGTTGCACACGATGACCCCTCAATACCAGCTGAGACGTACGTTGCGGATCGCATTACAATCAACCAATGTTTGGATGCTTGCTAAATAAAAAAAGCTAGTTGCGGAATGTCAAGGAATGGATCCACGATGCCATATGCTACATTCCACTCAACAGAAAGATCTTGGACTACAGACAAATACGATTGGAGCTGCAAAAGGAATGATGATGCCAGCAAGCGAACTTCTGTATATACTTAGTCATTGTTACTCATGCATTTTCCATCACTTATACTTAATGCTTGTGTTGCCTTTCTGTTCGCTTATTCCTTGTACGTAGAACAGAACATTGAAAACATTCCTATCTTATGTTTTCTAATCTCCATTTGTACATTTTTTACAAGTAGTCCAAATTCCACAAGATATACAAGACATCATTTCGGTTTGACTAATCATCATCATAGTTCCAACTGTTTGTTAGCGACTTCATCACTCTCTCGTGTTGATCTGCTTGTTGTTTATGTGTATATCTCAAGCAGAGTAAGGGTTTGATTACCCAAGTTTGAGGTAGTCGGCAATAAACGTATGTCGTTCGTGTGGTGGTTGGTGTGGTTCAATTGGCAAGGCTGTGGCAACCTTTTTAGTCTTCTTGATGTACAGTTTCAGTTTTTTGTTGTGCCGTACAGGTTAAATTAGATGACACTTTTACTGCATGACGTTTCGATTTGGCTGTCTTCGGAGGCTGGAAAGGCGTCAGTTACATTGATATACCCTGGCCGTCAAATATTATATTTTCCCCTCGCTTGCTATTCGATCGATTTCAGGTAAAATATTAGTATAGTTTGGATGAATCGATTGGCAAGCAAGGGGGAGATACTTGACTGCCAAGTTTGTATATCAATGGACTGACGCCTTTTCAGCCTCTGAGGATAGATGATATACTTTTATTGCCTGAAGTTTCAACTTGAAGACGTCTTCAAAGGCTGAAAAGGCATCATTCCGTCGAGGTACAAATTTGGCCGTCAAATATTCCTCTCGCTTGCCATTTTATTCATCCCAAGTATACTATTGCTTCTACCTTAACGGATCAAATAGCAAGCGGGAAATACCTGATGGCCAAATTTGTACATCAGTGGACTAACGCTTTTTCAGATTCTGACGATGTTAACCCGAACGTGACAATAAAAGTATATCATCAAAGCCAACCTGTATGGCACAAAAAAGGAATTGTACATAGTTCTACGGATTTTCCACTCAATCATCATACATTGACATATACAAACAATTACGTAAGCGTTTACTTGCATCTAGAGTAAAGACTAATTACGGAAATTATGTCCCTAGCAATCTGAGTTATCCCTCTATGAAGATTTACATAGTGGAATTTCCTGGTGTTTAAAAACCAATTTATACCCTTGAGTCATTGGTTTAATATGTTAGTCTGCACATTTTGCACGGTAATCAAACAACTTTAATCAATAAGTCCTCAGTAAACCCTAGCTAGACAAACTGTAACAATGCATACTACCAGCTGTCCTAATCTCACAAGACAAGGTGCATTTTTCTATTTTTTAAACAAGCAGCTCGCATTACTGTGCCCTGCTAAAGTCGCTCTCCCACAATTACTTTTAGGTAAAGAGCGGTACGATAAAGGGTACTTTGGTCGCGAAATTTTTTTGTGCTCGGGTCGAGTTTGAAATAAAGCAGGTGCGTCTTGTACTCGTGAAATTAGGGTAATTGAATACAAATCCGATCAAATCAAAAGAGACAAGGAAATAAGGAAAAAATGACTGGAAGTAAATGAAAAAGTTCTACAAAGTCGTCAAGTAGCACGCACGGTGTGCAATACACTATTAAGTTACAAATGACTCAATGATATTAGGTTGGTGCAAAAATGATGGCCGATTTTCCTAGCCTTTTTAAGGCAACTTTTTTTCATCTATACTTTTTCTTTAGAATAGATGTAGAGTACCATCGAGATGTTTTTATGCTCTATCTAAAGGTGTTTGAAACGGGCTTTCATCCTCATCTGCTATAAAGTTACCGAGCTTCAAATGACCGCAACCAAATTCAGAATTTCACTGCATTCACTTTTCTGGCCAGAATTTAAGCGCGTATCAATGACATTTCTTCGAAGATTTAGCTATTGTAGTAATGGAAATTTTCTACATTATGCATACTTAACTGTATTCTTTGAAGTTATCCAGACTGACATGGGAGATTCACAGTGTCGAAGTGGCCGATTACTATAAGCTGCATACCGTTAGTGAGAGCTTGCACGCTGGTTCCAAATCCGCTTTTTTAGCTGCAGAGCGCCTTTAGGAAGGAAGTTATGAACATATTTGAGGCGGAAAATGAACTAATAGCCGAGATAAAATCATTCGTTACAGCCTTTCTAGACGTAAACAAAGAAATAGGAAATATTGATATACGAGACAGAAGTAGTTCATTGTATGAAGTATCCTGACACTTCCATCTGCTTTATTTAGGGTCTAGAGAGGCTGTAGCATTTCATTGTATCCCCGCCGTTAGTTCATTTTTCGACTTCAAGGTATGCCCATAACTTCTTCCCCAAAGCCGCTATGCAGAGACGAAAAGTAGATTTAGAACCACCAAAGATTTCCAGTTTGAAGTGATAGGCCACTTTGACTTCGTGACCCTCTCTTGTGAGATATCGGCGTAAAGCATGGGTAGCTGTTGCGGTCATTTTATGACCCACAATTTTCTTCTGAAGAAGTCAGTCGCCGAGCTTTGCTCAATCCTGTAAGCGTAGGGCTAGGACGTCCTATTAGCAGTTTCCGCAAAAACATGCAGCTGTTCAGTAAATCAGAAAATTCTATATTCGGAACTTTGAGGCCCACTGAAAAAATATTGAAAAAACTGAGAAATTTTAAATTTTGATTTTTTTCTCACAAACTTTTTTGTTCGAATTCTTTTATTGGATTTTGTACTACTGGCTTGCGGCTACAAGATAGGCTACTTATCATTCATACTAACAAAGTTTGAAGGAAGTTATGATTTGTCAAAAACAAGGTTCTGGCAAAAAACCTTTTTTGTTTATCAATCCATATTTTTCTGCCCGTTCGTGATATGTGAGCATAAGTAAATGTGCGCTGTATAGCAAAAAGTTTGCTGTCTCTGATGACAGTTACCGCTTCCGGAAATGTGAATCTTTCAAAAAGTTATAGCACGTCAAAGTGAAAATTCGCAGAACGGCCATTATTTTTGCAAC